ATTTTTTCATATGTCTATACCCAAGTTACTTTGAAGGATGCTTTAGACAGAGAAAATACTCAAACATTTGTTGATTTGAGTCTGTAAAATCATTATCAAATCATTATAGTGAAAGTATAGTAAGTCTCTTATGATTCCTGACTGGCTTAAAGTAAAATTGGAATAGTTCTCAGGACCATTCTGCTTCCCTCAACCTCGGTTATCATCCTGCACAAGTTACTCTATTAACTTTTATATAAAGATGTGCTCATATTCAATTCTAAAAGAAAATAAAACAAGCAGAAATCAAAGAAATAAAAGCAAGCAGTTGATATTTGTTTCCTCTGCTCTCATACAACCAATTTCCTGACAAACATTAACAATAAAAACCCTTACCTTTTGGTGGAAAATAGGATTTGCTTTCTGCTTTATGAGGCCAATCTACTACCAAAGGCCCAAATCTTCTGAAGCTGGCAGTAATCTCATCTTAAGAAAGTGCAATAATACGTATTAGGAATTAGTTTTAATCACCGATTCTAAGATATCCTGCATTTTTAGGTTATTTTGAAAATTTAGTATTTAAAAGTGACCAATACCCTAAGATAAATCAGACTATAAACACTGGGAATATGTCCTAATACCCTTATTAAAAAGATATCTAAAACCTAATAACTATTTTGGTCAAGATAAATTCACTTTTAAGTAGTACATTGGCTAGAATAATCAATTCCATGTGATTGTAAAAATTTTATATAACATTGCATGGATACTAATGGCTTTATAGTATACCAAACCATAAATAGCACTGACTTGGAAAAAATTCCAACATTATATCAAGTTAAATAAAAAGATCTATTACTGCTTTACAAGTAAAATCATGTTCTTACAGCAAAAAAAAAAGTCTGCTGAAACAAGACTTGAATAGCTGCTATAATGCTAATAAAATATACTGGAGTCTGAAACATGCCAGGTTGTTTCATTGAAACTCATACAGGTCAAATCCAATGTGTTCTAAGTTATTTCGTTACATTTAAATCTTATCATACTGATTAATACTTAGAATAAGCTTGTGGGTATTTGAATTATAACCAAAACATTTCTAAAATGTAGCAATATCTTCTCTACCAGTTGTGAATGAGTGATAGATTTACCACAACCTCATACAGTTTCAATATTTTTGATCTTTATCTTGAATTATTTTTATTTTGTTATTATTACACACGATCATTTTCACATGATTATTAGCCTTTGTATAATCTGAATTTCCTATTCATGTTTCCATATCCTTTTTGGGGTTTATTGCCTCTTTATTACCTGTTTCTAAGAGCACATTTACCCTTAAAGAAATTAAGCTTTTGATTGTTGTGCATTGCAGATATGGTTTCATGGCTAGTTCCACTTATTTGAGGTGTGTGTGTGTGTGTGTGTGTGTGTGTGTGTCTGTGTGTTATGGTCATACAAAAAGTTTTAAATGCTGCATATTCAAATATGTTCTGTAATTAAAAAAAAGTGGGATATGACCTACATCAATAAAAATCTTATTTACAAAAAATGCTCATAGTAATGATATGCATTATACGATATAAAGAAAAAATATTTTAAAAAGTTATTTGTTCAATTACGTCCATACTTCAACAGGTAACGGAATATTTTAAGAGATGAATATCCATTCTAACTCTGAAAATCTCTACTAGAGATAAAAAATTCCATACCCTGTTCATATTATATTTCATGTTTTTTAATATTGTTTTATTTTTTGGTTTTTGTTAAAGCCCAAATCACCACCTTACCTTCATCGATATCTGGAGGAAGACCACCAACAAAAACTTTCCGAGAGAAGCGTTCTATTCGCTCTCCATTTTGATGAGCTGAATAACATGTGGGTGAATTTAAAACACCAACTTGATCACTATGACCATCATCCAGCAAGCCATCATCTATTGGAAAGAGGGAAGAACGACCTAAAATATAAGAACAAACATAACTTAAGAAAATGATAAATTAAAGTCAAGCATAAAAATACTAATGACAAATCCAAAGGCTTAAAAATTAAGGTGACACAGGTGTAAAAAAAAAATTAAGGGAAATTCAGGCAGTATGTGTTTTTAATTACCTGGATTCAAGAAAGAATCTGAAGAATGACTTAGAAATAAACACAGTTATATGACAACTATTAAACTGCAAAAGAAACACTACATCACTTTAATTTGTTATGGACAACAGCAAAAACCTGATGTATGAGGACAGTTAGGCTGGATATGTAACAAGAGAAACCTTTTAGAAACTGGTGGCAAAAAGGAAATGATATAGACTAAATAAACAAGAGGACATAATAAAAAGGCATTTGCAGACTATGGTAAGTAAGGACAAAGACAACAAGAATATTTGTATGTAAGGTCTTGAACTAACTTATTACATGTGTGCCAATTATATGAAAGGGTAGACAGGGTTTCTGAACATGTGCAAAATAGAAAAAGGCATCCATCCCCTCTAGGACTTTAGTCCCCATTAGAGCCCACCCTCAAGAATGCATCCTTGTACAATGCACATCCTGTACAATCTTCTGAAGCAGTTCTGATGCTAGACACTCTGGAGGGGATAAAAAAAAAAAAAAAAGATCCAATAAAATATAGATCCCTGCTGGGAAGGAATGTACATTTAGAAAAGATAACATCTACATATGTAACTACAGTACATATCTATAAGAAAGCTTCAAAGTGCTCAGAGGAAATATGTTGGAGGAAGGGAGTAGTCTGGCTAACAAAAGGGTAATTTCTTAAATCTCCAAGTGAAATTAAATAGCATTTGTGGTAAAAGGGGAAAGATAGTAGTGCTTACTGAGGGCATTAAAGAGGGTAGGATATTTATAGGTAAAAATACTTACAGGAGCATGGTTTTGAGTATATTTTTTAAGCAAAAGGAGAAACATTTTAAAAAGTAGGAAAAAAATGAATTTATTTAAAAAATACTGAGTAGTCAAGGTTGGCTGAAACATGTCAGGAACAAGGAGGGTAAAAGCTAGAAAAGCCCTTTGAGGCTAGATTATCTGTGACTTCCAGGCTAAGGAGACATTTTATTTAGTAGGTGGGGAAAAAAATGAACTTGATAGAGGGGTTCAAGCAAGATTATAACTCCTGTGTTTTAGAAAAACTTGTCTTAGTAAATATGGATAAGGTAGTTGGAAATGAGCGGATCAGAAGGTGTGTGAAAAATCAATGAAGAATGGACAACAGTGAAAAGCAAATGGAAAACAAAATAGGGAAAAACTATGGAAAAGAAAGAAACCAAGGAAGGTTTTAGAAAATGAATAAGGACCATTAACTGAAGATAAGAACTGGAAAGACCAGAAACGGGTATAAGAAAGGAAAATAAGTTAATCTTCACTCATATATAACAAGTTTCACATGCTGACAGCATGTTCAGAAGCACATGTATAGTAGGAGGTTAGAAATGGAGTGTAGAAAAAAGTAATATTTCTGAGAACATAATTTGGAGTCAACTCCACAAAGGTCACAGTTTGAGGTTCTTTGTAACATCCGTGATAAAAACTCCAGAAAGAAATGATGAGGATAGCTCCTTGGGAAACTTACAAGAAGTGGAACATTCAAAGAGCTAGAGAAAGGAGTGGTAAGAAAAGTAAAAGGGAAGCCAAAATGTTACTGTGACAGAAGTGCCAAAGAAGAATAATATAAAAGGAAAAAAGAGCAATTAAGTAACAACGTGAGATATTAAGATAATGATTTTTAAAAACAATAATTGTGTTTGAGGACATGCATGATCTTTGAAGGCAGCAGTTTTAGTAAAGTTGGGTTGGAGTCACATTGCATGTAGTTAGAGTTTTTTAAAGTACAGGCATCAGATAAAGACTAGTCCTTAGAAATATACTGGAGAAGGAAGAAGAATAAGAATGTAGACAGGTTGTTTTTCTTTTAAGATGAAGTGAAGAATTTTTTTTTTGGATAAGAGACAATGCATACAATCTATAGCTTCCATCATGATATATAAAGTTGTAGATACTCATATAATATCATTATGTTATCATATTGAAAAATATGACACGTAACGATACAAGTGACATAAATAAAGATAATTAGAAATGTGATAGCCTGCACAGAACTGGTTGGGGGCAAGAAGAAGGTGGCCACATGCCTATGAAAGTGAGCTAGCTAGTTAGATGTTGGATATAAAAATGTAAAGTTTATAAAACACAACAGTGGAGAGAATGACCATTTTTTAGTTTTTAATTTTTTTTTTTTAGAGATAGGGCCTCACTGTGTCTCCCAGGCTGGAGTACAGTGGCACAATCACAACTCACCATAGCCTCAAGTTTCTGGGCTCAAGGGAACCTCCCGCCTCAGCCTCCCAAGTAGCTGGGGTCATAGGCATGTGCCACCATGCCCAGCTAAGTAAGACCATTTTTGGTGCAGGAGAAAGAAATTATTATACATATATGAATTCAGTGTAAATAATATGTTCTCAAAAAAATAGCCATATTCACTGAGTAACCTTATGAATACTATTTAACTTTCCAAATACCTCTGTTATCAGAGATAGAGATCAATGAAAAACAAATGTCAATATTCTCTGTGATCAATGGAAAGGAAGCTCTTCAACATGAAACGATTTTTACTTAATAAAATGAACCTCATCAAGATCCATTAAAAATATTATTGTGAATAAAGTTAGATTTCAACTGAATAATTCTATATTTTAAAAGGAGTAAGATATGGTAGAGAAACAACATGCATACTAACTCAATTTTATGAAAGAAAATCACAAATTCAAATTCTATACTCATTTCAGACATGCCAATACTTTGGAAACTATTTTACTTTAAAATGTCCCAATATATACCAATATATACAAACTTAGCAATTCCATAAATCTAATAAAGTCTTTCTAACAGACATTTACCTTGAGAAAAAATATAGATCATAAATATTTAGAGTCTAAATATAAATACTGAATGTGGTGACATATGACATCATTATAAGCAATGCCACAAAGAAGGGTGACCCAAAAGTGATTTGAACTTTTATTAACTATAATAAACATTATAGCTACTATAACTATAAAAAAGTCTATAACTTATGCATCCATAATCTATTAACCAAAGTTCAGCTAAACAAAAGATGTAACAAAAAGGTTAAGAATGTTTCATATACTAGCCATACTAACAAGAATCTTCATTGCTGGAAAATAATCACCACTTTTCTTTAAGAAGTTATAAAAACTACTGATTTAAATACTCATTTAAAACTTAGTAACTAAATATATATCATTAACAAAAATATTACTTTTTACCTTGCCAACTGTGCTTCCCCATAACTCAATTTAATATAACTATAAAAGGAGAACCATTAAATAAGTTATGTCTATCATTGTATAGTACACTTTAAATATGATTCCTAAGAATGATACATATACATTTTTTCAGGTTCTCATACCTCAGAGGAATAAAACTGATTTTTATGATGTAATAAAATTTATGATGTAATAAAAATACAACATAAATTTTGTGG